AAAAAACCTATATATTTATTGATATAGGCACATGCGCAAAACGCGTATCCTAAGAGCCCGTTTGGACATAAGAAATTTTTTTCTTTTTTCCAAAAAATTTTTACTTTTTTTCGAAATCAGTGTTTGTTCATAAAATTTTCAATTTTCACTTGAAGATGTATTTTGGAATTTTTTCGAAATTTTAAAAAACTCCAAAAAACTATTTTTTAAAATTTTCACTTATATTATTTACAAAACTTCAAAAACAACCCAAAATTATATTCATGTCCAAACACAACTCTAATTTTCAAATACCATTTTCACTTGAAATTCTTTTTCACTTTTTTTGAAATTTTACAATTCTTATGTCCAAACGCCCACTAAGACTAGTTATCACTAAATTATAGTCATATATCACTTCAATTTATTCCTATTACTAATGAAAGTAAATTAATGGAGTACATAATTTAGTGTAAAGTAGGTTAAAGTTTTTACCGAAAAGTTACTTTCTCAAAAGATCTCTCATTTAGGGAAACAAATTATCGCGGATTCGCCCGCAATTCCCAGAAATTAGGAAAGAAGATTTTGAGGTTACGTGCGCAGTGATCTCACACGATACCAAAGCAGCCGCCACTCCTGTTTGCTTGGCGCCCTTATGTCCACGCCACGCCACCTATTCACTTTGCTTCCCATTTCATTTTCTCCATGCAAAATATTTAAATAAAAAAAATCAATTTTCCACCTCCAGAAAAATTACAGAATCCCCTAGAAATTTCCATTCGTTCGAAAGAAAAATTGTTCAACCCCAGAAGCTACAATTTTCTGAAAAAGTATCCAAATTTTTGTTAAATTTCAATTGTCCACCTCTATACACAGAAAGAGTGAGAAATTTCAATTAATTTCAATACAAAAACAAAAAATTTGTTCAACCTGAAAGGTTAAAAATAAATTGATGGTGGGAGTGGGATCAACATCAACAAAGCAGGGGTTGCCGTCATGGATTGGGGCAGCCACTGCAACACGAACCACTGTTGAATTCGACAAAAGCGTCGCCGTTTCTGGTGGGGACACGTCGTCAACTAAGCCTTCTCATTCCGAGAACTTTACGGATGTGAATTTAGGTTTTGGAGAGAGGGCTATTTCCGCCGCTGGTGCTGCCGTTCTCTCCGCCGTCCTTGTCAACCCTCTTGATGTTGCCAAGGTCACCTTTTTTCCCCCCTATATTATTTATTCTTAAATTAAGCCCACACTGTTCATTTAATTTGCCTTAAAAGTGCTGCCTTTTTAAAAAAAAATTGTACAGTAACTTCTATTTCTAATTTAATTGTGTGTTCCAATTTAACTTATGTCAGTGATGTAGAAAGCTTGTTCCACTGTTACATTGCAAATATTAGTGCTTAAACATGAATTTGTACCGAGGAGAACCTTTTGAACAGCTTACAATCTTGAGTTGATTCTCTACTTTCTTGTCATTTAACTTTGTTTACCCGAAAAATCAGATAACGTTAAATTTGTGTATGTTTTTAAGGATATGTGATACAATTTGATACAAATCGTATATATAAATAGAAATATGTATGTTCTTGGCTATGAGAATAGGAATAGTGAGCAAAAGAATGAATAAGGTAAAATAAAACAAGCATGAGGAGATATCTTTCAATACGAGAAGTGATCTTTTGTTACAATGCCTTTCTGCCTGTCCCTATGCTTACCAGGATTTCCCCTTTATAATAGAGGGATCCTACTTTATTTATAATAAAATAAAGCATATAGTGGAGGACCCATGATGAATTGTCTCTTCCTCGATTCCCGCCAAGATTCTCTCTCTTAGTGTGGTTGTAACGGCTCTCGTTTGTGAGCTCGACACTGGCTCGAACTCGTTATTGGGTCGAGCTCTGATTTTGGCTTGAGTTCGACCTCCGGGGTGGGTGTAGCGCATTCCTGATCTCGAAGCAATGCCTTGCGGATCGATTTGGTCACGGGCTTGATAAAAGTATCGAGCCGACTCCTCGATCAACCTTCGGATTCGAGGCTCATTTGTACTGCCTTCGGAACTCATCCCAAAATCCCACTCCGGTTGCTTACCGTTCGAACTCGATCGAACGTAGAAAGACCGAAATCTATTTCGACCGTATACAGATAGTCCCCTCGATTCTCAGGAAGGATGTGGTGAGAATCAATATGATCTTCGATGGTTCGATCGGGTTATAAGCTGACGTTTGCACAGGGCTGGATCATGACGTATGTGATAACTGTCCCATCGATTTAGTCTTTTCAAGGTATTTAATGCATGTCAGACGGTGGTCGGACACCTCTGATATTGAACCGTCACGATGCAAGCCTATAAATAACCCCTTCATCTAACATTTACCATTTTTACATCTTTCACTCTTCCAAATTTTCTTACCCTTTCTCTCTATTTCGCCGCTTGCAGAGCCATCTACATCAACTTTTCATCTTCCTTTGCCTTTCTTTCTCTCATATCAATGGCCAAAACTTCGAAAACCGTACCTCAGAAGGAGAAAGTTTCTTCTTCACGGCCGTCCGGCGACAAGGTCGAGCGAGTGCTTATTCAAATTTGAAGTGATATAGCTACTAGGCTTATAAGTTGAGTCAATGATTCGAACTCGAAGTAATGTAACTCGTAGGCGTAGTAGTCGAATGAATGATTTGAACTCGAAATAATGTAGCCCGTAGGCGTAATGGTCGAGTGAGTGCTTGCTCGGACTCGAAATAAAATAGCTCGTGGGCTTAGTAGTAGAGTGAATGATTCGAACTCGAAATAATGTAGCCCGTGGGCGTAATGGTCGAGTGAGTGCTTGCTCGGACTCGAAATAAAGTAGCCCGTGGGCTTAGTAGTCGAGTGAATGATTCGAACTCGAAATAATGTAGCCCATAGGCGTAATGGTCGAGTGAGTGCTTGCTCGGACTCGAAATAATGTAGCACATAGGCTTAGTAGTCGAGTGAATGATTCAAACTCGAAGTAAT